GTGTGTGTGTGTGTGTGTGTGTGTGTGTGTGTGTGTGTGTGTGTTAATGAGACACAGAGTGGATGATTGGGTTGCATGGTCTCTTTTCTATTCCTCTGTGCTCAGAGACTATTTAAGAAACTATAACTGGCTGTGTTTTAATGTTTTTTAATCAAAATGAGGCTTGTTTTAGTGTTGATGATGATGATGAGAGACATATCTCTCCTGCTCTGTATCTCTTTGTATTCATGTGTTTTTTGGCAGATGAAACGACTCTGGGCAACAACCATGAAAATCTTCTTATTTTTAGATTCTAATATTGTGTTTGAGAATAAAGTCGATGCTGCATTACTGCAGTCATTACTCCAAAACCTGTCTCCTTCATGTTGTTTTAGTTCAGTAAAAATCATATTTAAACTTTTCCTGTACACTTCAGCACACCTTTTGCCTCCAACCTGACCTTTTACGTGATCACAAAACAAATACCTTTAAAATATTGYAAAATGTGTATTTTTAACTTTTGTTAGTTTTAACACACATAGACAAAATTATGGTACCTATGAAAAACCCACAGTGGTCACTGAAATAACTTGAAATTGACAAATTAACAGTTACTAAAAATAATAAATGAAAATCACGTTGCTTGGTTGTTTTGAGTCATTATCCCATTGGAAGACCCATGACCTGCTGAGACCAAGCTTTCTAACACTAGGCAGCACATTTCTCTCCATGACGCCTTGGTAGTCTTGAGATTTCATCGTTCCCTGCACAGATTCAAGACACCCCGTGCCTGATGTCTTTCAATAAATCCTCCTTGACTCAAACAGTGGCCCGTACAGCAATCTAACTGATGTAAGCTGACCTTGGAGTTCACCTTTAATTTCTTTGGAGGTTGCTCTGGGCTCTTTGGTTTCCTCCTGCAGCCAGGAAGGTGGGCTCCAGTCCTGTGGACCTCAAACTTGAAGTAATCTGTGCAGCTGTAGCCACAGGAGCTTCACGCTGCTTGGAAATGGTCTTATAACCTTTACCTTTAACATGCTTGTCTAGAACCTTTTTAAATTTTTACCTAATTTCCCTCTGGGATCAATAAATTATTTTTGAATTGAAATCTCTTGGGACAACTCTTTCCTTCTCTTGCTGTGGTCTATGTTCAGTATGTTCGGTGTGGTACACCATGTCACCAAACAGCACARTGACTGATTACAAGCTTGAAGACGCCTGTAATGCTGACTGGATTGATGAGACAGYTTAATGAAAACAACAAGTTTACATCTGGTAATGCAAACACTRTTTYGCAAACCTTTACRTTGACATCAGTTTCACATTATATGGATTGTTTCATAAAATGTTTAAATGGCAGAAGCAGCTGTTAGCTATAGCACCTCTACCAAGAATATATTTCAGCAAAAATAGCCATGCTAATAATGTGTTTTCACTTTATCCTTACTGTAGACAAAACTCAGGTGAAGTCAGTCCAAAATCATTTTAAATTAAATTTAAATCATCTATTTTAGATTTTTTTTAATTAGACTTTTAAAATGTATTTCAGATGTTTGCAAAGTTGGAAGTAGGTCTTTTCAGTGAAGCCTATAACCATTTCCTAGCAGAAAAGATTACAATATTGTGCAATTGTATAAAAGCTTGTACAATTGTTCAAATGTAAGCATAACGATTTTAAGATTTTTTTTCCTTTTTCCATTGCAAATTTGTAAAATGGAATAAACTCAAGTTCATATTAATGTATTTTGGGGTTTTGTTGATCAGTAGTTTGTTTACAGCAAGTTTAGAGCTGATGGAGGACATGAAATCAAGTCTTCAGTTTTTCTCAAACTTGTAAATTCAGATGTTTTGAACAGTTTTTGCACATGTGGATAAAAAAACGAGTTTCAGGAAACAAGAAATCCTTCTTAAACAAAAACAGGCCGGTCATCCAGTCGACGTGTGAGCAGTCATTTAGAGTTGAGGGGAGACCCCCAGTGTTTGTGTTTAAAACTTAAAGTATCGTTCATGTTCTTAAGAGTTGTTTATATTATTTGTTTTMACTGCTGCAACATATAGAAAATGCAACAGTTTGAAAGGACTCAAAGAAATATTTACTACATGCATGCTACAATATAGAAGTATTGACTAAAATGTAAATTAATAAGGAGCTTTATTTGGTTAAGCTGCCTAAACGTGCAATAATTGTGTCCTCTCTCCACCTCCACCACAGAAGCCAGCCTTCAGTCCTGTCTGTCTGACTCTTGGCTGCCAGAGGTTCCATCACTGATTTCACTGGTTTCCTTTCTTGAACCACTTTTGGTGTGATGACCACTCCAGACTGGGATCATCCCACARCAGCTGCAGCTGTAGTGATGCTGATTTCCAGTCATGAAACATCGACGTTTTGCTCCCAGATCCTARCGTTTGGACTTTTTCTTTAGCACTTAAACGTGAGAACAGATTSTGGTCCACAGATCTTTGACAACTGAGGAAGTTCTGTCTGTGAATCCAGCAAAGCCACCAAGTGCATTTTAAGTCAAGTCAGATTGTTTTGCCAGGTGCTGTTTTCAAAGTCACAAAGGACCTGTGAAATATAAAAATGACCTTTTTTTTACATTTTTTTTACAATTTTATGAAAGCAAAACAGAAAACAAAAGCTAAAGTGTAGCAGTAATGTCACATGAAAGAGTCATTTTAAAGTCTTAAATGTACTCATTTACATCTTTTATTCAAATCTTTACCTGCAGACAAAAAATAAAAAGAGTTCTTAAAAAAGAGCTGCTATCGTATTTTCCTCTCCAGAGCAGTGGGCGGGTTGTTGGACGACTTTTCAGGAAGAATGAGCCTCAGCCTCCTCCTCGGAGATGAGCCTCCTTCCTCTGACAGGTACTCCTGCTGCAGGAGAGCAGCAGCTCCTGAGGAGGACTCTGCGGACACACCAGGTCCTGAGACATCCAGAACAGACCCACCTGCTGCTTTTATGCTGCCTCCAGAACCCACGTTTGTAGCTGCTTCAGACTGAGGTCCACCAGGTGGCACGTTGACAGTCTGGCTGTTACTGGTGGACATGTTCTCCACCACAGTCTCCAGTTCTGGAGCCTGGACTCCAGACTTGTCATCCTGAGTCTGGTTGGGGATGCTGCCTTGGGTTGCGGGTRCTTGTGACTTATTGGGCAACTGAAGTAGTCCTTCCCCAATGTGAAAGCCTTGACCCAGAGCTGGATCAGCAGCTGGGTTCACTGAACTCAGAACCTGCTCTTCAGATTGGGATGTTTGAGGAGTGGCTGAGTGAACTGAAGTGCTCTGAGCAGTTTTAGCTAGAAGCAAGGGAACCGCAGACACCGCGCCTCCTGCAGCTGGTCTGCTCAGGTTTTCTGAGGACCCTCCTGGAGCCACGTTGAGTCCAGTGAGTCCTACGCCTGGAGCAGCCAGATTRGCAGGAAGTAGTGGATTAGATCCTGGAGTGAGGAAAACGTTTCCTGTTTGAAGAGACAAACTGCTGCCAGTTAGCTGTGAGCCAGCTGGTCCACCCAATGAGAGGCTGGTAGTCCGATTCCTGTCAGCAGGAAGGAAGGAGAAGGGGTACTGGGAGAGAAGCTGAGCCCGGTTCAGTGCAGGTCCTGCCTGGTACTGATGCAGACTTTGTGCACTGGCAGCAGGCTGGGAGCTCTCTGGGTTTGGGTTCTTGACCTGGTCTCCTGGACCTTCTTGGTCAGCGTTCTCCATTTTTGAAGTTGTCTTTTTGAGTTGAGAATTCTCTCCGGTTTCTGCTTTCTGCTCTTCCTCTTCCTCACCWTCCTTTGTGGAAACTTCGCTTTTAGAGGATTTCCTCCTTTTCTTGTTGCTGTGCTTTTTCTTGTCATGCTTTCYTTCTTTTTCCAACTCCTCTCTTTCCCTTTCGTGTCGCCTTCTCTCTTTACTTCTTTTGGAGCTCCTGTGTTCTGCGTGAGCTTCTTCACTTCTCCTCCTGGGGTGAACCTTGCTGTTTCTCAGGGGGTTTAGGTTTAATTTGACCTTGAGTGTGCGGCCAGATTGAACTTTGTGTCTCCTTTCTCTTTCCTCCTCTTTGTCTCGGGGGTTTGCAGCCTCCTCCTGAACATCTTTGTCGTGGCTGATTCTCAGACTCTGCAGATCAAACTTCACATTTCTTGGTTCTCTCTTGAAATCTGCACTTTGCATCTTTTCAAACGGATCGCTCCTCCCTCTGCCATTCAAAACGTACGGGTCATTCGGATCAACCTCGTCTTGAATCCCATTCTGCTCTGGTGATCTGTACGTCCTGTGGATGCTCTTTGGGTGTAACGTCTCATAACCTCTGAGCTTTGCCTCCACGTCAGACCTGTGTTTGTCCCTGTTCCTGTCAGTCGTATGTGACATCCAGGTTTCTGTACTTTCTCTCAGTGGATGGGAGGATGAGTTGGTGTTATGAGAATAAAACTTTTGTTGCTGACTTGCTCTCCTCCTCCTCTCTTCGTCCATCATCATCCTGGCTCTCTGCCTTTCCTGGTCCTCAACCTTGACTCCTCCGTTCATCCAGCTCTCCTTTCTCATAGGATTTGGAATCTGTCGGTCTGATCTTCCATCCAACATCACGGCCTCTTTGTTCCACGGCTCGCCGCTGTTGGCTTGAAAGACAAAGTCCCTTGTCCTCTCTCTAACGTTGAGGTGGTTGACATGATTAGCTACAGGACTGCTTCTCTCGTCTTCCTCTTTCACTCTTTGACTTTCTTTCATATTCTTCCTCTGAGACACTTGATGGTATAAAAGGACAATCAGCAGAGTCAAACCAACCCCTCCTGAAAAACATCACAACACAAATTAATCACTGTTATCACTTCAGGATTTATTCTGAACAGAAAATCTTGATCATCTTGGAAAGGCTCATGTACTGTGATATGTTTTGCAGTTCTTCAGGCTTTCTCAATCTTTCTTTAGGCTTTTGTTGCAGTATTTTCTGTACAGTATTTGGACTTGAGCATCTCAAATGACAAAATTAATAAGGATAAATAAATAAAAAGAAGACAGCTGCATTATCCCTCAGCTGATCATCAACTGAATGTCATGTTTTCAGCTAATAGTTCTTTTGGAATCACCTGGTCGAAACAAAAATGTTATTTTATGTGTTTAACTGTGTTGTCTTTAGCATTTTTAATAAATTTACCCAAAGAAACTGGAACGTATTGTGTTTTTGCAACAAACAGCATAAACATAGGATCCAAAGATCCAGTTTAAATCAGCCAGTGGAATGGCACTTCTGGTGTCTGTCTCAAGCCTGAGTTAATGATAAAAGCTGCATCAGGAGGGGTATTTCAGGTACAACTTGTACTAAAAAAAAACAAAAGTACAAAATTACAACTATCCAGATCTGTCAGAGTTAACAACCACCGCCTCCTGTGCTGACAATCAGCAGGGCACCAGTGAAAATAGGAGTTGAAAACAGATGATTGTTTTGAGGTGACCTTCAAAAAGRGAGCAGCCACAACGAATGAGGAAAGAATGGAGGATGAGATTGACAGATGGACTGGTGCAGCTTCTGCAGTGATGGGACTCTGTACCCRTCTGTTGTGATGAAGAGGTGAGCTGAGCTGTAAGAGGAAGCTCTCTGTTTACAGATCAGTCTATGTTCCTGCCCTCACCTATGGCCATAAACTTTGGGTAGTGTCCCAAAAAACAAGATCCCTGATACAGATGGTCAAAATGAGTTTTCTCTGCAGGGCAGCTGGACTCTCCCTTAGAGATGAGCTTAGAAGTCCAGATCTCCAAGAGAGCTTCAGAGTAGAGCTGCTGCTCCTCCACATCCAGAGGAGCCAGTTGAGGTGGGTCAGGTATCTGGTAAGTGATGCCGCCTGGATGGCTTCCTAGAGAGCTGCTTCAGGTGTATCCTGGGCCTGAGAACACATTGGAGTCCTCCCAGAAGAGCTTGAAGACTGGCTGTGGAAAGAAAGGACTGGGCTTCCCTGCTTAAGCTGCTGTCCCCCACAACCTGTTCTGGAACAAGTGGAAGAWGATGAATGGATGGATGGATGGATGGATGGATGGATGGATGGATGGATGGATGGATGGATGGATGGATGGATGGATGGATGGATGGATGGATGGATGGATGAATGGATGGATGGATGGATGGATGGATGGATGGATGGATGAACAATGCTGGTTTATCCTTTGAGTCTAGGACCCTGAAAAAGCAGCTAAAGTCTAAAGAAAAGCTTGAAAAGTGATGCGATCTTGAGATCCTTACATGTTGTTTTATTTATAGCTTGAGTTCATGAATGTCATGCCCAGACAATTTTATTTTTGTTTTTTGACTCTATTTTTCCTGGACCCTCCTTCTATTTCCCCCTCTACCTGCCTAACTAAAGCTGGACTCGGTTGGGACATCAGGAGCTGTCCCTTAGAGCAGGGGTACTGTCATGATGTTGAGGTGTCTGGGTTTTGTTTGTTGGTTAGCTATAAATCAGTTATTTTGTTATTGTTAACTCATGTTTTTTCTGCTTGGCCTTCAGAGGAGTATGATGCTTTTTTGCCTTCTTTCCCGAACCTGTCCCTCCTTCCCTGCTTTCCAGCTGTACCAAGCCTTTCTTCTTCTACCTATCATCCGAAAACAAAAGGAATTATGGATTTGGTCAACTGGTCTCCGAACACAATCGAGACAATTTTTTCCATCCTGAGATGGGAGCGAGGGGAGCGCAGCTGTCCAAGTGGAATGGTGGCGGCAGAGTGAGTGTCTGGGTCTTGGGGGTGGAACCTCATTTATTTGGCCCCACTTTCCATCAAAGACATTGAAGATCTGTATATATTCGGATTCATAATAACTGGATTCCTGCTGATCGGCTGTGGAGGAGCTCATCGGAAAATGAAAGTGATCCTGACAGAAGTCCGGGAATGTCAAAAGCTGTCAGGGACCATGGATGGGATCTCCCATACTGGAAACGCACAAACTCAAATGTTGGGGGATATAAGTCGCAAACTGGATGTGATTCTGACAAGGATCACAGTTCAGCAGCGTGCCCATGAGGAGTAAGATCACACCTGGGTGAAGTTTCAGATGGAGAGAGGCGAGGAGGCACTGGAATTTGGAACATAGGCTTTTTTTTTTCGCAAACACAGAGTTGCAGTTAAGACTCAAAGCAGAGAAAACCAGGCTGCTTGCCCCAAACAATTATGTTTATTTTTGGATCCCTGCAGCTGCTGACCTTGGGTCGAAAGCTATCAAACCTCCCTGGATGACACGTGAGAAAAAAGCCTTGACTCCCCACATCCCTACCCATATCACCCGTGAGTGGATCAGTCTGAAGGCCGCATTGGGTGGAGACAAAGAACTGACTCTGGTGATTTGTGCTTTTTGTTGACAACAACTTGTTTCGGACTCTGGAGGTCTTTGGTTTCAACACGGAGTACTAACCTGGAATATCACTGGCTCCACTGAACCCCACCCCATACCATGTGTTTGTCCCCCCACCCTCCCCTCCTTCGCTGCCTTGCACTTGCAGAGTGGGGTTTTTTTGGGTGCATGATTCTGTGTTTCTGTGTAAAACATAGGATCAAAGCTCTTTTTAACTCACCTTTCCTAGTGTGTGTATTTTAAGCTGCAAAAGGTAGCGCACCTTAGTGCGAAAGACCCTGGACATTCGTTCTCCCGTGTTTGTTATGTGTGTCTTCTCCAAACAGATGTTATAAACTGCAAATTCCTAGTCTGTGTTTATCACTGACAATGACAATAAATCTCTTTCTGATTCTGATTCTGATGGTTGGTTTTTTTTTCATTTTGTTTACTTGTTTCTTCTCTGCTTCACTAACCATTGTTTCCCTTTAAGTTCTAAAGAGTTAAACATTTGTCTCTGTGTATTGTTCTCACCCATGAAGCAGATAACAGCGGTGATGGTCAGATCTCGAGCGTACAGTCGAGGCGTCACGCTTCCTTTTGTCTCGACCTGCAGCGTGATGTTCTGATTGGACGGGATGCAGTTGGCCTCGGTCAGCTCCAGCACCGTGGTTACAGCCGGGTTGTTGGCGCTCACGCACACCATCCGACGGCCGTTATACAAGGTCTAACAGCAGCAAGGAGGAAAGATGGGAGTTAAGAGTTTTGACTGAGAAGGCCATGATTTAATCAGTGTTGTTGTGGCTTTGATGAAAAAAAAAGATTTTGTGTTATTATTGCTATGCATTTATAAGGTGTGGAAGCTAATGAATCAAGTGGCATGGATTGATCTACCTTATCAGGTTGTTGGATAAAGTTGGACAGGACAGCAGCCAGCTCCAGCAGCTCGCAAGAACAGTTCCACGAATTGAGGTCCAGGTTGAGGTTTGTGAGCCAGCTGAGGTAGGAAAAGGCCTCAGCAGGTGCAGAACTCAGGCGGTTTCTGGAGAGATCCAGGGTCTTCAAGCTCACCAACCCTCTGAAACTAAGACAGCAAGGGAAATGTGTGCTGCAGTGTTGAGCTGGACTGTTTAAAAAAATCTGGAGAAGCTCTAACCTGTATTTCTCCATGTGCTCAATCAAGTTGTCTGACAGATCTAGACTTTCCAGAACCCTGAAGTCGTTCAGAGGAAATGATCCAGAGTCCAAACTGGTGAGCAGGTTTCCATCAAGTTTTAGGTTCAGCAAAGCCTTTGTGCCTTTGAACCAACCAGCCTGAACCTGCAAAACCAGAAGGTGAATTATTTACTGAACGTTTCAGTCCCAATCATTCAGTAAAATCACTGAAACCAAACAAGACAATTGAAATTTTCACTGTTTTAAAACAACCACAACATTAAACTCCACATGAAATCCTTTTTAGATGTTTTTTTTTTCTTAGATGTACCCACCATGTTGATGAGGTTATGGCCCAAGGAGAGAACCTCCAGCTGGGTGAGGTTGGTCAGAGCTCCACCCTGCAGAGTCTGGCTGGTCAGGAGGTTGTGGTCCAGCTGCAAAGTGTGGAGGAAAGGCAGGTTTCTGAAGGCCTTCTCACTGAGCGATGAGATCTGGTTGTTACTGAGACCTGAGGAAACGGACAGGAAGATGTGAAGAATGCACTCAAATACACAAAGACATAAACAAAAGTTCTGTAAGCACAGATCCAGATTTGTCCTGACCTACTACTGTGATGTTTGTGAGGTTAGACAGTGAGGCAGTTTGGATTGTAGCGATGGAACCATCTGTTAGCAGCAGAGCCTGGGTCGAGTCTGCAGCACCTGCTCACACACAGAACAAACATATTACACAGTGATAAACACTTAATGTTACAGCATTTTGTAACACAGAAGACCAAAGAATCATTCTTTTATAGATTTAAATTTATAAATCAGAGTTTTTGAAGAGATGAACTGTGGAAAGATTATAAACATATGACTTTAATGTAGAGATGCTCGATATTGACTTTTTGCCGATAACGTTCAACACTTAATTTCCGATTCTGATATTAACTGATATCACAAACCAATATTAAGGTGACATCACGTAACTCCTGTCAGGGACATTATGCCTGCTTTTTGATACCCCACTGGATGCATTCCATAGGTAAACATTGACTGTACAAAAATAAAAACCATTTAACTGAAGTTAGAGGAAAAGTGCCATATTTATTTTTAACATTTTGTCTGAAACAACAGTTTGGATCATGCTCTCTCTGGGATAATCCAGTTTGATGATGTCATCAATTGCACACTGGTGAACATCTCTGGACCACAAGCTTTTATTAACACATTTTGGTCAAATCCAGGCATTAATTTATCTGGCTTTTGTTATCAGAATAAAAACTGATACAGATATGTAGAGATTTTACATTTTTATGCTAATATTGGACTGATAATATCTGTAGGCCGATATTATCGGACATCCCTACTTTAATGGCTTCAGTTTGGAATAAAAAATGTTTTATTCTAAATGCTTTGATATCAGCCCTGCTCAGACTGGCCTTTAGCCTGACAGTGAAGTCAGAAACTCTCTTTATTTTCCAAATGGAGGCCATTCAAAAAGCTTATCTACAGCAGGTAAGATGTTCACTGTTCATAACCTTTTGTCTGATCGTCACTTGAACAGATCTAAACTATCTCTCTGAGGAAGAATCCTACAGTTTGGGTCTCTAATCAGGTCACTATCAGCAGAACTAGTTTATGTTTTACCAATAAAGTGAGCCAGTCTTTGACAGATGACTGCGTCCTCAGAACAAACCACGCAGGAAGCAGGACATGACGGCACCGGAGACACACGCTGGGCTCTGACCACTGGCAGCAGGAGGATCAGCAGAATACCTGGAGACAAATTTAAAGATGCACCTTTCTGTCCAAAATGAGCTGAATTCAAGTCTATCTTATGTCCACCAGCAGGTAGTTTTACAATAGTTTGCTGTTTTGTGGTTAATACTCACTGGTCATGTTGGGTTACAGAGGATGCAACATGATGAAGAGGCAGCAGCTCTCCCACAGGGCCGTAACCTGATTCAGCTTCATCATCATCACCAGGGTTATCTGGTTAATCTGAAAACACGGTTTAAGAGCTTCAAACATAAACACAAAAAGTGTTTTTAGTCTATGATAATTGAACTATTGTGAGGTTCTGTTGGGTCATCTTGATGTTGACACTTGGTGATTTGATTTCAGCTTGTAAAAACTGAACGAGTGCTCTTGAACAAAAGTTTGGAAACCATTGTGTTGTTGTTTTGTTGCTTGGCAGGCAAACAGCTGGGTGACGCAGCAACAAACAAGTGTTGTGTCATCATCAGGGGAGGTGGAGCTGGGCCCAGGAGCACGCAGACTGATGGCCCACAGCCAGACATCAGAGCAAAACGAGGCCTATCGTGTTTCTGCTGAGGCTCTGTTTCCTTAGTGAGACGTCCTTTTTAACGCAGTTATTCTGACCTCTTCATGAATCAGAGTGAAAACCAGAGAGCAGCAGGACTGATTTACTTCACCACAGTAACAAAACACACAAACAGGCTGCATGTTTGAGTCCTTTTAACATTAGGCTGCATCTTTTCAAGGAATATAATCAGGTTTTGTGTTTTATTATAGTTGTCTTTAATAGGCTGATATGTAAAATAAAAAAASTTCATACATATTGCATCAAATTGGATAAATATCAAACTCAAGGCCTGCGGGCCAAATATGGCGCTCGTTACCATTTTATCTGGCTCTAAAGGCGATACTTGATTTGTGAAATGATTTCTATTTACGTCACTGTAGCCAAGAAAATTAGGTTTAAATTTTTGTGATCCTTGATTTAGGTG